GGGTTTCACCATATTGGTCAGGCTGATCTCAAACTCCTGACCATAGGTAATCCACCCACCTCGGCCTCCCAAAGTGTTGGGATTACAGGCGTGAGCCACTGCGCCCAGCCTGCAGCTTACTTTATATGAAGATACTGAAACCGCCATTGAAAAATTGTAACTGAGATGGTGAAAGAGATCTGACCCAACCAGCTCTATCTTGCTTCTTAACACACCTCCAAGCTGCCCTTATACATTCCTGGGCATAAGCTGAACTAACTTTGGGAGGAATTTAGTTTATGGTTTAGAGTTTAAAACAAAGGCTGGGCACGGTGGCTCACACCTGTAATCCCAACAATTTGGGAGGCGGAGGCGGGTGGACCACCTGAGTTCAGGAGTTCCAGACCAGCCTGACCAACACGGAGAAACCCCGTCGCTACTAAAAATACAAAAAAATTAGCCAGGCGTGGTGGTGCATGCCTGTAATCCCAGCTACTCAGGAAGCTGAGGCAAGAGAATCACGTGAACCCGGGAGGCAGAGATTGCAGTGAGCCGAGATTGCGCCATTGCACTCTAGCCTTGGCAACAAGAGCAAAACTCCGTCTCAAAAATAAAATAAAATAAAATAAAACAAAGACGGTAATAGCCCTTTCCCAAAACAAACCTCCTTCTTGCCTGGGGACTAGGCTGCCTTTATAGGACTAACAAATTAGCTACACAATTAGAAATTATGGTTTAAGAGTCATGCGGCTGGAGGCTACAAGATTCTGACCCTCCTTAAACTGCTCCTAAGATCAGTGCTTGAGATATTTTGCAGACCCTGCACTTGATGAATCAGCTGGCACCACCCAGATTGATAAACTGGCTCATGTGATCTGTGGTCCCCACCCAGATCTGACTCCTTACAAGAGGACAGCATCAACTCCCTATGATCTCATCTCTGACCCAACCAATCAGCACTCTCGACTCACCGGCCTTCCCCTACCCACCAAATCATCCTTAAAAACTCTGATCCCTGAATGCTCGGGAGACTGACCTGAGTAATAATAAAATTCCAGTCTCCCACACAGCTCGCTCTGTGTGAATTAACTCTTCCTCTATTGCAAGTACCCTGTCTTGATAAATCAGCTCTGTTGAGGCAGCAGGCAAGGTGAATCCATTGGGCAATTACAATATCACCATATTGATAATTACACTGTGAAAAGCAAATTATTATAATAACTCCACTAACCTGAATGCATAGAAATTACAGTATTTTATTTTTTATGAATATTTTTTAAAACAACAGATAATAGGTCGGGCATGGTGGCTCACACCTATAATGCCAGCACTTTGGGAGGCTGAGGCAGGAGGATCACTTGAGCCCAGGAGTTCTAGACCAGACTGAGCAACATGGCAAAACCCCATCTCTACAAAAAAAAACTTTTCTAATTAAAAATTTAGCCAGGCGTGGAGGTGCACACCTGTAGTCCCAGCTACTTGGAAGGCAGAAGCAGAATAACTGCTTGAGTCCCCAAGTTAGAAGCTGCAGTGAGCTATGATCATGACACTGCACTCCAGCCTGGGTGATAGAATAAGACCTCATCTCAAAGAAAAAAAACAAAATATTTTGAAGCTTTTTACAGTAAAAAAATATTTTCAGATATCTATTTTAAGATAAACTTACTGAATAATGAGTAAAGCTTTTGCTTAGTTCCTTTTTAAAATCTCTAAGTGCACCAGTTCCTTTTCCTAGCTTAGGAAAAGACCTAAGGCACAGTGATCTATGACAATAATAGAATATTTGCTTCATGGTATAGGCTCTTTTGGTATCTTAAAGCAATGATCATTATGTAGTGCCATGGATAAGCTATAGAAGAAATCACAGATAAAGCTAAGTATGTACTAACCCCCGGCTATTCTCTGAAAGTTTCTTTGGAAAATATAAGCATACTATTTACTACTTATCCCTATCTCTGAAAAGTAGAATGCAGGAAAAATTGCAACTCTTTAGTCAAGTTCTGATTACTCATTCACTGATTCAAAAACTGCTGTTGACCAGCCTGGCCAACATGGAGAAACCCTGTCTCTACTAAAAATGCAAAAATTAGCTGGGCATAGTGGCGGGTGCCTAGAATCCCAGCTACTCGGGAGGCTGAGGCAGAAGAATCGCTTGAACCTAGGGGGTGGAGGTTGCAGTGAGCCAAGACTGCACCACTGCACTCCAGCTGGGCAACAGAGTGACACTCCATCTCAAAAAAAAACAAAAAAATTAGCCAGGTGCGGTGGCTCACGTCTGTAATCCCAGCACTTTGGGAGGCCAAGGTAGATGGATCATGAGGTCAGGAGTTCAAGACCAGCCTGGCCAACATAGTGAAACCCCGTCTCTACTAAAAATACAAAAAATTAGCCAGGCGTGGTGGCGGGCGCCTGTAATCCAGCTACTCAAGAGGCTGAGGCTGGAGAATCGCTTGAACGCGGGAGGCAGAGGTTGCAGTGAGTGGAGATCACCCCACTGCACTCCAGCCTGGGTAACAGGGTGAGACTCTGTCCCAAAAAAAAAATTGCTGTTGGCTGTAGAACCCCTATCATGTGCTCTGCATTACATGTGGAACTGGGAATAGAATAACAACCTTCAATGGCGTGAGGGAAACTGGCAAGTAAAGAGGAAGTAAAAAACGAGATAGAGGTCAAGTGCAGTGGCTCATGCCAGTAATCCCAGAACTTTGAGAGGCCGAGCCAGGTGAATCACTTGAGGTCAAGAGTTACAGACCAGCTGGCCAACATGGTGAAATCCCCTCTCTACCCAAAATACAAAAATTAGCCAGGCAAGGTGGTGCACACCTGTAACCTCAGCTACTCTGGAGGCTGAGGCATAAGAATTGCCTGAACCTGGGAGGCAGAGGTTGCACTGAGCTGAGATTGCCCCAGTGCACTCCAGCCTGGGTGACAGAGCAAGACTCTGCCTCAAAAAATAAAATAAAGGCCGGGCACGGTGGCTCATGCCTATAATCCCAGCACTTTGGGAGGCCAAGGCAGGTGGATCATGAGGTCAGGAGTTCGAGACCAGCCTGACCAACATGGTGAAATCGCATTTCTACTAAAAATACAAAAATTAGCCAGGCATGGTGGTGCGCACCTGTAATCACAGCTACTCAGGAGGCTGTGGCAGGAGAATTGCTGGAACTGGGGAGGCAGAGATCGCAGTGAGCCAAGATGGTGCCACTGCACTCCAGTCTGGGGGACAAAGCGAGACTCAGTCTCAAAAAAAAAAAAAAAAAGAAATGCAAGTAATTCCAACCTACATATGCTATATGCCTTTCTGCTTAAACGATCTATGTTTTTAAGTATAAATTGCCTATGAAAATAAACACTTCTGGCCAGGCATGGTAGCTCACGCCTATAATCTCAATACTTTTGGAAGCCGAGGTAGGCCAATCACATAAGGCCAGGAGTTCAAGAACAGCCAGGCCAACATGGCAAAACTCCATCTCTATGAAAAACACAAAAAAATTACTCCTTTACCTGATGCAGGTCTCTACTCAAATGTCACCATGTGGGTAGAGCATTCTCTCACCTACCAGTATGAAATAACTTATCCTCACCCCACCCCCTTGCCAACTACCAGACTCAATTATCAAAAACAAAAATAAAAGTGCTTATTTATTTACTATCTATCACCCTAATCTAGAATACAAATGCTGTAGAGAGCGCAGATGGATTTTTATCACTCCTATATTCCAGAATCGGAGTCTACTGCCTGGAAGATCATAGGTTTGCAGTAAATATTTGGTGGATGACTGAGTAAAAACTTATAATACTAGGAATTTTTCTGATGCAAACTATTAATATAACATTTTATGTTATGAGTCACTTTTCTCTATTGCATCCCTAATTAAGAGTTAAGTACTTATATAGAAAACTAAGTAACACTGACTTTTTCCCTTTAGCCTAAACATACAAATACATGCATATATAAGCAGTTCACTGGCAAGGTCTGAATAATCGGAAGACTTTATGCCACTCTTTTCCTTCTCTTGGCTTAGTGCTTCTGAATATATTGAAGGGATACCTTGGGCTCCTATGTTATTACCTTAAAGTCAATTAACATTTCAACTCTGGGCCGGGAGTGATGGCTCATGCCTATAATGCTAGCACTTTGGAAGGCCAAAGTTAGTGGATCACTTGAGGTTAGGATTTAGAGACCAGCCTCACCAATATGGTGAAGCCATCTCTACTAAAAATACAAAAATCAGCCAGGCGTGGTGGTAGGCACCTGTAATCCCAGCTACTCGGGAGGCTGAGGCAGGAGAAACCTTTGAACTTAGGAGGCAGAGGTTGCAGTGAGCCGAGATCACACCACTGAACTCCAGCCTGGGCGACGGAGTGAGACTCTGTCTCAAAAAAGAAAAATAAAAATTGTAAGAGTTAATAACAGTACTTTGTAAACATTTGTAAAACATCAACATAAAAATTAGCAAAACTATAGGCAGATAATTCAAAGAAAAAATATGAATAGCCAATAAATGTATGAAAATTTTCATTTAGATTAATGTTCCTTAATAATGTTCAGCATCCAAGGCCGGATGCGGTGGCTCACACCTGTAATCCCAGCACTTTGGGAAGCTGAGGAGAGTGGATCACGAGGTCAGGAGATCGAGATCATCCTGGCCAACATGGTGAAACCCCATCTCTACTAAAAATACAAAAATTAGCTAGGCATGGTGGCACGTGCCTGGTAATTCCAGCTACTCAGGAGGCTAAGGCAGGAGAATCGCTTGAACCAGGGAGTCAGAGGTTGCAGTGAGCCGAGATCGCGCCACTACACTCCAGCCTGGCAACAGAGCGAGACTTTGTCTCAAAAAAAAGAAAAAACAAAAAAGAAAAAATTAATGTTCAGCAACCTAAATGGCCTGGGAAAAAAGAAAGCAGAATAACTTCCAAAAAAAAAAAAAAAAAGCCAGCAAGAGGTTTCTTACAGCAATAAGAAAACACAGAAACTGGAAAACCTTTTAACTGACAAGGATGTGGGGTTGAAATACCTGTGATGGAACAATAGATGATGTGAGGAGCAATCTTGTCTATATCTTCATATCCCAGGCCCATTGCAGACAGTTTGCCAGGGACATAGTTTTCCACAAACACATCACAAACAGCTGCGAGCTGATGGAAGAGGTGAACATGAGTCAGACTTCCCCTCAACAAATCCTCACATGATAGAATTTTAAATTCTACACAATTGATTCTCCCTTTCTAATAGCTCAGAAAAATCACAGGACCGATGAAGCAAATTAGATAAACATAGAAGTTCTGGTCAACTACTTAAAGCATTACTGTCAGTAAAATAATGGCTTTTAAAGTTTTTGTAAGTACATGGTATTGAATGGATTCTGCATCCTTTAAATGTAATAAATATCTAGACTACATGTCTGTCCAAATAGATTCTCAAAAGATTAGGTAGAAAAATTAGAATGTAAGTACATTAAATCTATGAAAAACACCTTTTAAAACATTTACAAGAAAACTAAATAGGTCATGTCTGGTTGCTCACTTCTCTAATCTCAGCACTTTGGGAGGCCAAGGCAGGTGGATTGCTTGAGCCCAGGAGTTCAAGATCAGGAGTTCAAGACCAGCCTGGGCAACATGGCAAAATCCCATCTCTACAAAAATTAGCCAGACAAGGTGGTGCACACCTATGGTCCCAGCTACTCAGGAGGCTCAGGTGGGAGGATCTCTTGAGCCAGCAAGTTGAGGTTGCAGTGAGCTGCGATGGTGCCACTGCACTCCAGTCTGGGAGACTATTAGACCTTGTCTCCAAAAACAGACCTAAATACAAAGTCTTTACTACTCAGCATCCCTATTGTTACGTAATATTCCTCATTATAACATGCACTTAACGCATGTAAACAGGATTCTGAAATGTTTTCACACCTTTCAGATGCATTCTTCCCAAAGAGTTTTAAATGTATTTAATGAACCACCAAAGTTTTTTTTCTTCAGGCCACTAAACTATAGCCCAGTAAACCAGGAACTGTCAGGAACAAATTCCAGATTGTGATGCCCAGACCACTGTTACAGGAATTAGAGGACAATGCAGCACTGTAAACCTTAATTTTAATTTTTTTTCCCAAAATTTCAATTGCGACTACTTTTAAAAATGTTTGTAAAGAGCCAGGTGCAGTGGCTCACACCTGTAGTCCCAGCACTTTGGGAGGCCAAGTAAGGCAGACCATTTGAGGTCAGAAGTTCAAGACCAGCCTGGTCAACATGGTGAAACCCTGTCTCTACTAAAATTACAAAAAAATGAGCCAGGTGTGATGGCACATGCCTGTAATCCCAGCTACTCAGGAGGCTGAGGCACAAGAATCACTTGAACCCAGGAGACAGAGGTCACAGTGAGCTGAGATCGCACCACTGCACTCCAGCCTGGGTGACAGAGTGAGACCTTGTTTCAAAAAAAAATATATATATATATATATATAAAAAATATTTTTTATATATTTTTTTAATTGGCTCGGCACAGTGACTCACACCTGTAAATCCCAGCAATCTGGGGGGCCAAGGTAGGCAGATCACTTGAGGTTAGGAGTTCGAGACCAGCCTGGCAAATATGGCGAAACCCTGTCTCTACTAAAACTACAAAAATTAACTGGGCATGGTGGTACATGCCTGTAGTCTCAGCTACTCGGGAGGCTGAGGCAGGAGAATCACTTGAACCCAGGAGATAGAGGTTGCAGTGAGCCAAGATAGTGCCACTGCACTCCAGGCTGGGGCAACAGAGCAAGATTCCATCTCAAAAAAAAAAAAAAAAAAAAAATCACAGTAATTGGCTGGGCCCAATAGCTCACACCTGTAATCCCAACACTTTTTGAGGCTGAGGGGGTGGATCACTTGAGGTCAGGAGTTTGAGACAAGCCTGGGCAACATAGCAAGGCCTCATCTCTACAGAAAATTTAAAAATTAGCCAGGCATGGTGTCACATGCCTGTAGTCCCAGCTACACAAAAGGATGAAGCAGGAGGACTGCTTGAGCCCAGAAGGTGGAGGCTGCAGTGAGCAAGTTCTTGCTACTGAACTCCAGCCTGGGCAACAGAGTGGGACTGTCTCAAAAAAAAAAAAAAAAAGCACTCCTACAAGCACTAAAGAAAATAAACTGCAGGCTAGCCAGGTGCAGTAGCTCACACCTGCAATCCCAGCACTTTGGGAGGCTGAGGCAGGTAGATTACCTGAGGTCAGGAGTTCAGGACCAGCCTGGCCAACATGGTGAAACCCTGTCTCTACTAAAAAATACAAAAATTAGCCAGGCGTGGTGGTGGGCACCTGTAGTCCCAGCTGCTCGGAAAGCTGAGACAGGAGAATTGCTTGAACACGGAAGGCAGAGGGTGGAATGAGCCGAGATCACACCATTGCACTCCAGCCTGGGAGACAAGAGCGAAACTCCACCTCAAAAAACAAAAAAGGAAGAAAAAGAAAATAAACTGCATGCTATATAGCAAAATTCTAATACTGTTTCATCTAGGCATAGGATAAATGAGAGTTCACTATTCTTTCAACTTTTCTGAATGTTTTAATTTTTCATAACAAAATGTCATAGGAAAATAAAACTCATGCATTGCTATGCTGACCATAACACACACCCGTAATAATGATATTGTGACTGTCAACTAATTAACATAGAAAATTGTCTGAAATATTGGATAACACATGATCAAAATTTATCAAATCATATCACCACAATAATACTAAGTTCCATATAGGTTTTCTAAGCAGAGTTTCAGTTTTTACACAACCTGTTTTTGGTTAGCCTAGTTGCCAAAGGAGTCATACTTTTTGAAGCTCTCATGTATCCAGCTGATTGACTTGTATAATACTTTGGAACTGTTTCTATAAACTAGACCCATTATATTAGCAATCCTTTTTCTTTTTTTTTTTTTTTTTTTGAGATGGAGTCTCACTCTGTCACCCAGGCTGGAGTGCAGTGGTGCGATCTTGGCTCACTGCAACCTCCACCTCCCGGGTTCAAGTGATTCTCCTGACTCAGCCTCCCAAGTAGCTGGGACTACAGGCACACATCACCACGCCTGGCTAATTTTTGCATTTATAGTACAGACAGGGTTTCACCATATTGGCCAGGCTGGTCTCGAACTCCTGACCTCACGATCCGCCCCACCTTGGCCTCCCAAAGTGCTGGGATTACAGGTGTGAGCCACCATGCCTGGCCTTTTTTGCTACTCTTAAGGCCAGAAGAGAAATCTATATCAGAAATAAGAAAGACTAGAGAAAAAATAATTTTTCCTTTAGAAAGTAAGATACATAACTTATGAATTGTATAACTACCTAAAAGCAATTGACTGGCCATGGTGGTTCACACCTGTAATCCCAGCATTTTGGGTGGCTGAGGTATGCGGATTGCTTGAGGCCAGGAGAACAATTTAGAAAAATCAAAACAAGGCCGGGCGCGGTGGCTCAAGCCTGTAATCCCAGCACTTTGGGAGGCCGAGGCGGGTGGATCACGAGGTCAGGAGATCGAGACCATCCTGGCTAACACGGTGAAACCCTGTCTCTACTAAAAATACAAAAAAAAACTAGCCGGGCGTGGTGGCGGGCGCCTGTAGTCCCAACTACTCGGAGGCTGAGGCAGGAGAATAGCGTAAACCTGGGAGGAGGAGCTTGCAGTGAGCCGAGATCGCGCCACTGCACTCCAGCCTGGGTGACACAGCGAGACTCCGTCTCAAAAAAAAAAAAAAGAAAAGAAAAATCAAAACAAGTTTCAAAAGAAAAACAAAAACAAACAAACCTAAGTTATGCTACAGGAAAGATATGGGAAGGCAGGGTGGTAAGATCAGGATGATTTTCAAGCTTTGGGTTCAAAATACATCTAGTTAATGAAAATTCTAAATTGGCTGCATTGATCCAGCAGAACCAAAAAGGATGGTCCCTGATTCTGATCTTAATAATTAAAGATTATCTTTCAATGACCGAGATAGAGAACATAAAGCAGCAGAAGAGCAATTGAAGCTAAGTTCATGTTTGGGTAAAACATAAAGTTTGAGGCCAGGCGCAGTGGTTCATGCCTGTAATCCCAGCACTTTGAGAGGCCGAGGCAGGTGGATCACCTGAGGTCAGGAGTTTGAGACTAGCCTGACCAATATGGTGAAACCCCATCTCTACTAAAAATATAAAAATCAGCCGGGCGTGGAGGCACGTGCCTGTGGACCCAGCTACTCCACAGGCTGAGACAAGAGAATTGCTTGAAATCAGGAGGCGGAGGTTGCAGTGAGCCGAGATCGCGCCACTGCACTCCAGCCTGGGCGACACAGCAAGACTCTGTCTCTAAATAAATAAATAAGTTTAAGACTTGGTTCTCTAACCAAATAGCCCTAAGTACACTTGGCCCTTGAACAACAGGGGTTTGAACTGTGCAAGTCCACCCCTAGGTGGATTCTTTTCAACCAAACGTGGATGGAAAATACAGTATGCACTGGATGCAAAACCCATGTACACTGAGAGCCAATTTTTTATATAAGCAGGTTGCACAAGTTCTGTACTGCAGGACTTAAGTATTCACAGATTTTGGTATATGTTGAGGTTCTAGTAGAACCAGTCCCCCAAATACAGAAGAATACTGTACATCCATTAGATTCACCTATAAACCTTAGCAAAGATGGCAAACAAGGTTTATCCCACATGATGAATCCAACATCAGGAACATAGGAAATAATAACAGCTAATAACTCATGAGTGCTGACTATGTGGCAAGCATTCATCTACACATTTTACACAGACTAACTCAATTCTAACAACAACCCTAGAGAGTAGGTACTATTGGGCTGGGCACAGTGGTTCACACATGTAAATCCCAGCTCTTTGGGAGGCCAAGGTAGGCAGATCACTTGAGGTCAGGAGTTCAAGACCAGCCTGGCCAATATGGTGAAACCCCATCATTACTAAAATTACAAAAATTAGCCAGGTGTGCTGGTGCACACCTGTAATCCCAGCTACTCTGGAGGCTGTGGCAAGAGAATTGCTGGAACGCAAGAGGTGGAGGTTGCAGTGAGCCGAGATCATGCCACTGCCCTCCAGCCTAGGCAAAAAAGCAACACTCTGTTTCAAAAAAAAGAAAGAAAGTAGGTACTATTATTACCCAGTTTACTAATGAAGAAACTGAGACACAAAGAAGTTATATAACCTGTCTGAAGTCATATAGCCAGTAAGCACAGAAGGCAGGATTCAAATCCCATGCAAAGGTATCCATCCTTAATTTAACCACTGTGCCTTCCAGCTCCTGTAAGAAAGATGCTGAGATCAGGTCTGGATATACTGATCATCTGAGTAAGGGTTAGAGAAAGCTTGGACTCTCCAGTGATGTGACTCAGATCCAAATGTCAGCTTTCCCCATACTAGCTAGGTAAACTTGGAGCATCACTTAGGCACCAGGAAACTCAATTCCCTTTTATGTAAATGAGATTTCAATACTTCATTTACAAGGTAAAATCTGAGGATTAGAGAAGATAACGTGAGCAAAGTGCCCAAGCCCAGGATTTGCTACACAGTTGGTGCTCAGTCAATAGTAGCTAGCACCATAATGATACACAATATACAAAAAATTTAAAGCACATTACACTTACAAAGAAGTATACAAATCAAGGTAAATACTTAAAAGGTATTTGTTGCAAATGTACAGATCACCCATAAAATTGAGTTTTAAAACACTTTTGCTCTGATATTTCAATCCCTAATTATAACCTAGGTGGTAGGATGCCTTCTATACAGCATACTGTACCTCTTTGATGATTTTCACCCCTTTTGGATCCTTGATATTAACAGCAATACTCTAAAAATTAAAAAAATATATATATATATTATTTCGATGACCAAAATACAAGCCCCAATCCCTACCATTATGCAATATACCCACATAACAAACATGCAATGATGTATCCCCTGAATCCAAAAAAAAAAATAAAAAAAAAAAAAAAAAAAGCATGTATATGAAAATACTACCATAAAAGTTTTTCTTTTTTTCTTTTTTCACTTTTTGAGACGCAGTCTTGCTCTATCACCCAGTCTGGAGTGCAGTGGTGCGATCTTGGCTCACTGCAACCTCTGTGTCCCGTGTTCAAGCGATTCACATGCCTCAGCCTCCCAAGTAGCTGGGACTACAGGCACACGCCACCATGCCCAGCTAATTTTTGTATTTTTAGTAGAGACGGGGTTTCACCTTATTGGCCAGGATGGTCTCAATCTCCTGACCTCATGATCTGCCCACCTCGGCCTCCCAAAGTGCTGGGATTACAGGCGTGAGCCACTGTGCCCAGTCATGAAAGTTCTTCTTATTGCTGACAAGAAAGCCATTCATATCATAGATCATCCTCTTAAATTTATTTTATGCATGAAGAAATATTTAAATCATCTTTACTGATTCTATTTACCATGAGGATATATTAATATGCTAACAAGGATGATAGGAGATGTTTTTAAAGTATAATACCAAGTGTTAGGCAATTATTCCCTAATAATAACAAATGTAAGGAATCAAATGATTTTTCTATTTCATAAAATTATTTCCATTATAAATTCTTATGAAATGTTCTAAGTTACTTAGTAGGTAAGAAAGAGTAGTAAAAAGCTCCATTGTTTCTACTTAGTGAATGGTAAATGAACAGAAGTTTAATTTATTTGAAATATTAATTACATCTTAATTTCTTTAAGGAACAAAAAAAAAGCCACAATGATATCAACATTTTTGCTATTACAAGAGAATTACACACAAAAAGCCAAAAAGGGATGATATTCTTACTTTTTTATTTCGGTTAACACTGAGATAATATGTACTTTCTGTCCCAACAAAAGGTGGCCCCCAAGTCCGTGTATCATCTCCAACTCCTGAAAATAATAACATGAGTTATTAATCTTTGGGTTTTTTTTTTTTTTTTTTTTTTTTTTTTTTGGAGATAGAGTCATGGAGTCTCACTCTGTTGCCCAGACTGGAGTACAGAGGAATAATCTCTGCTCACTGCAACTTCCACCTCCTGGGTTCAGGTAATTCTCCTGCCTCAGCTACCCGAGTAGCTGGGATTACAGATGTGCACCACCATACCTGGCTAATTTTTGTGTTTTTAGTAGAGACAGCGTTTCACCATGTTGGCCAGGCTGGTCTCAAACTCCTGGCCTCAGGTGATCCACCCACTTCGGCTTCCCAAAGTGCTGGGATTACAGGTGTGAGCCACTATACCCAGTCATTTAAAGTAGTTTCTAAGTGACTGTGAAAAAAAATAAAAATAGTACTATCAATTTCTAGAACTATAATTTAATTGTACTATCAACTGCTAAAACTAGCTAGGATTACAGGCACCCGCCAGCATGCCCTGCTAATTTTTGTATTTTTACTAGAGATGGGGTTTCACCATATTGGCAAGCCCATCTCGAACTCCTGACTTCAGATGATCCGCCTGCCTCAGCCTCCCAAAGTGCTGGGATTACAGGTGTGAGTCACCACACCCAGCCAAGAAGCATTAGTTCTAACTGGAGCTAAACCAATGACATCTCCTGCATCAGCCTCCATAGTAACTGGGATTACACAGGTGTGCACCACCATGCCTGGCTAATTTTTTATTTTTAGTAGAGACAGGGTTTCACAATATTGGCCGGGCTAGTCTTGAACTCCTGACCTCAAGTGACCCAGCCGCCTAGGCCTCCCAAAGTGATCCCACTGCGCAGGGCCAGTAGTTTATTTTAGACATTTGCACTCATTTCTCAGGCGGAGATAATGTCAGGAGTCTAAACTGGAGGCCTACAAGGCTTTCCTCATTTAACTGGGGTTTCAGAAGGCTCTGTGTCCATGGCACGTGACAGGAAATGAATGGGTTAAAGGGCATAATCTGGAAAAACCTGCAGCTTGGGAGACATGTTTTATTTGACCAACATAATTCTTAAAGTTTTTAACTAGCTGCCATGATTTCAAAATCTGGAAATCTTTAAAAATTCACACTGCCTTTCTTAGATGACCTTTTGACACATTCATTCATTCAACAAATATTTATTGAGCACCAACTATGTCACAGACACTGCTCTGTGTAGAGCAGACACAGCAGTGAACAAAAGACCAACAGCCTTGGCCTCGTGTGCCCTAGTGGAGACGATGCTGAAATTTCAGCTGCATCCTTGCTCACTTCCCTGCTCACTTTCCTCACTTAGGTTCCTTGCCTGGCCCTGCAGGCACACAGATACATCCACTGACTGGCTAACTCTACAAAAAGAGGAGTATACATAAATGTAATATGCTCTTTGGTTACACAAATAAAAATAATCTAATACTAAATCAGAAAACTACAACCAGGCCAGACGTGGTGGCTCATGCTGGTAATCCCAACACTTTGGGAGGCCAAGGCGGGTGGATCACTTGAGGCCAGGAGTTTGAGAACAGCCTAGGCAACATGGTGAAACCGTGTCTCTACAAACAGTGAAAAAATTAGCCAGGTGTGGTAGCACATGCCTGTATTCCCAGCTACTTAGGACACTGAGATGGGGGAATCGCTTGAGCTCAGGAGGTCAATGCTGCACTGAGCCAGGAGTGTGCCACTGCATTCCAGCCTGGGGGACAGAGCAAGATCCTGTGAAAAGAAAAGAAAAAGAAGAGAAGAGAAGAGGAGGAAAGGGGAGGAGAAGGGAAGGGAGGGAAAAAAAGAAAAGAGAAAAAAAAAGAAATAGAGAAGGAGGGCAGGGCAGGGCGAAAGAAAAAAGAGAGAGAGAAAGAGAAAGAAAGGGAAGAGAAGGGAAGGGAGGGGAGGGAGGGGAAGGAGGGGAGGGAGGGGAGGGAGGGAGGGAGGGGAGAAGAAGGGAGGGGAGGGGAAGGGAGGGGAGGGAAGGGAAAGGAGAGGAAGGGAAGGGAAGGGAAGGGAAGGGAAGGGAAGGGAACTGAAAACTACAACCAAATTTTATTTAATTGAGGAACTGTAGAGTGGATATAAAATGAAACTAGTTTTCTACTGAAATGTGAAAATACCACAAAGCTGCTTTTAATGAAAATCACTTTTTCTCATATCTGTGTTGAATAACTATCTCAAAAACCCAAAACAATTAAATATATAATATGAATATTAAAATGTATTAATTGGGAGGGTGAAGAGAAGTAGTCATAGTAACCGGTCAAAAAAAGGACAATAGGCCAGATGCAGTGGCTCACCCCTGTAACCCCAGCACTTTGGGAGGCCGAGGTATGTGGGTGTGTGGATCACCTGAGGTCAGGAGTTTGACACCAGCCTGGTCAACATGGTGAAACCCCGTCTCTACTAAAAATAAAAAAATTAGCTGGGCGTGATGGCACATGCCTGTAATCCCAGCTATTCAGGAGGCCGAGGCAGGAGAATCATTTGAACCTGGGAGGTAGAGGTTGCAGTGAGCTGAAATCGTGCCATTGCACTCTAGCCTGGGCAACAAGAGTGAAAACTCTGTCACAAAAAAAAAAAAAAAAAAAAAAGGACAATAAACACCTGCTAGGAACAAAGCCCGATACCAAGTGTATGGCGATGAGACATAATAAAGGCCTAGACAAAGAAAGATCTGTTGTAGTTTAGTTTGCATGGTGGAAACTGAAAAGTACAAAGGAGAAATAGGCCTCACTATATAGGGAACAACAATTTATAAAATTAATAGAAATACAAATGTTACCCTGGTGGCCAACTGAAATAGCAAGAGAAATTATTAACACATTGAATGTTCTATGTGTTATAGGAATGGAAAATGCAAGAAAACCAATGGTTGTAAGTGCTGCGGTGTTGAAATCAGATAGCAATATGGAAATTAGAAGCTTTAAAGAAAAAAACAAATGTTGAGCTAGAAAATAAACATTCTTCCGCATGTATCCAACACTGACTAAAAGCGATGAACATCATTGAATGAATAAACGAAGCATCATCTCTGGGAGCAGGACTTGCCGAGCACTTCTACCGCCTGAGACTGGCAGGGATAATAAAAAGTAATAAAATATACTAATACATGATATTTCTCATGCTCATCAGAGAATCTTCTGCTAATTGCCTTGGCTTCTTAAGAATATCTACTTAACAAGAAATTGAATCTTCCAGATCAAGTATTCTACTGTCTGTAAAGACAAAATAAAATTTAAAAAATTTTAAAAAAGAAGGAAACAAACAAAAAGATATTCTACTTTATATGGTTATCACTTACAGTCAATTACTAAGTTGATGTAATTATAAATCATTCTCCTGTGAGTCTTAGAGATACATACACATTATTCACCACTAGACCAGTCTCACTGATTTGGGGATTCTGTTTAAGACCCATAGGATCAGATCTTGAAACATAAATAATAATGCTAATTTTTGAAAACTTCGAAAACAAGCTGCATAGGCCAGGTGTGGTGGCTCACCCACACCTGTAATGTCAGCACTTTGGGAGGCTGAGGTCGAAGGATCGTTTGAGCCCAGAGTTCAAAACCAGCCTTGGCAATATAGGAAGACCCTGTTTTTACCAAAAACTATATATATATATTTTATATAAAATATATATTTTATATATATATATTTTATATAAAATATATATTTTATATATATATATTTTATATAAAATATATATTTTATATATATATATATATTTTTTTTTTTTTTTTAAATAAGGCCGGGTGCGGTGGCTCATAGAGCGAGACTGCATCTCAAAGAAAAAAAAGTAGCCAGGCACGGTCGCGCACAACTATGGTTCCAGCTAAGGTAGGAGGATTGATTGAGCCCAGGAGGTCGAGGCCACAGTAAGCCATGATTACACGATGGCACTCAAGCCTGGATGACAGAGTGAGATCTGTCTCAAAAATAAAATAAAATAAAACAAGCTGTTTATATGATGATATAGCAGACATTAAAAAACATGGACTGTGCCCTTTAAGTGCTTATTGGAGAGAAAGGGCACAAAACAATGACACGTTCCTTTTTGAGATGGAGTGTGGCTTTTGTTGCCCAGGCTGGGATGCAATGGCATGGTCTCAGCTCACTACAACCTCCATCTCCCAGGTTCAAGCAATTCTCGTGCCTCAGTCTCCCAAGTAGAGATTACAGGCATCCGCCATCATGCACCACTAATTTTTGTTCTTTTAGTAGAGAAGGGGGTTTCACCACATTGGCCAGGTTGGAGCCTGACCTCAGGTGATCCGCCCACCTCAGTCTCCCAAAATGTGATTACAGGTGTGAACCACTATGCCCGGCCAATAATGATGCTTTTCTAAGAAACTTTATCAATAACAGCTTGAACTAAACACCAAACTGCTAAGATGATACCAAATAACAGTGAGAAATGTGTGCACAGAATATATTTATTTGGTGAACAAAGGAGGAAGAAAGAACAGGAAAGATGTCAGATGAAAACATAAAAGCAAAAAACTGATCTAAGCTTAGGTGTTTCCTCCTTCAAAACCTTTAAAATTATAAAATGGGGAAATGTTTCTTTTATTGAAAATAGAAAAAAATGGCCAGGAGTAGTAGGTCACACCTGTAATCCCAACATTCTGAAAGGCTGAGACAGGAGTTCAAGACCAGAACAAGCAATATAGCAAGACTCTGTCTCTACATACACACACAAAAAAAATTGTATTATTATAGCTGGGCATGGTGGCACATGCCTGTAGTCCCACCCATTCAGGAGGCTGAGGCAGGAGAATTGCTCAAGCCCAGTAGTTGGAGGCTATAGTGAGCTATGATCACACCACTGCACTCCAGCCTGGATGACAGAGGGAAATGCCGTCTCTAAAAAAGAAAAAGGAAATAGAAAAGAATGACTTAGGTTGGAGTATTTGAGGTTTTCTGTTTGTTTGTTTGTCTGTTTGTTTTTCAGACAGGGTCTCACTCTGTCATCCAGGCTGGAATGCAGTGGCACGATCTTGGCTCACTGAAACCTCCACCTCCCAAGTTCAAGAGATTCTTTCGCCTCAGCCTCCCAAGTAGCTGGAACCACAGGTGTCTGCCACCACGCCTGGCTCATTTTTGTATTTTTAGTGGAGACGGGATTTCACCATGTTGGCCAGGCTGGTCTCGAACTGCCAACCTCAGGTGATCCACCTGCCTCAGCCTCCCAAAGTACTGGGATTGCAGGCATGAGTCACCATGCCCAGCCTTGGGTTGTTTTTTGAGGGACTTTGATTCCTTTTCCTTCTCTCCTTCTTCCTTACCCTGAGGGACTTGATTCCTTTTCCTTCTCTCTCCTCTTCTCCTTACCCTATTTCTTCACTTTTTATCTTCCTTTCTCCTGGCCTTCCTTCTCATTCCCACAGTGAGGAGGGCCAGCCCCACTGTAATCTCAGTCTCAACGCTAAAGCCAGGCTGGGGCTAAGGAAGGCCAGAATCATGGCTGAAGGTCTGGATATTCCTTTATTACCGTGTGTCCCCAAATGTTGCTTAACATCTCTGTCTCCATCTTCCTTTTATAAACTATGAATAATAACATCAGCCCATAGGGTTGTTGTAAAGATTAAATAAGCACAGGCAAAGCATTGAGAACTTTGCCCGGCACTGTAGGTGTCCTTATCATCAATATTACACACTGCATCTCAGCTTCTTTGTTTTTTTGAAGCAGAGTCCGCTCTGTTGCCCAGGCTGGAGTGCAGTGGCATGACCTAGGCTCACAGCAACCTCCACCTCCCGGGTTCAAGTGATTCTCCTGCCTCAGCCTCCCAAGTAGCTGGGATTACAGGTCCATGCCTGGCTACTTTTTTGTATTTTTAACTAGTAGAATCTAAGTTTCACCATGTTGGCCAGGCTGGTCTTGGAAGTCCTGACCCCAAGTGATCTGCCCTCGGCTTCCCAAAGTGCTGGGATTACAGGCGCCAACCACTGCGCCAGCCTCAGCTTCTAACAAAAGCCTTCAGGTGCAAAGAAGAAACTGGCTTGAGCCTTAGCACTGAGCACACATAAGGAGTAAAAAGATACCAATAGTGTTAGTTCAGGAAAACAAGAAATGGAGAAGAAAAAGACACCATTTCATTTTTAATTTCTCTCCCTTATCCACTTACAGGTACACTAAACATGGGTATTTAGAGAATTACTTAAATATATTTATTAGCTTGTTTCTATATTTTAAAGAGAGTAATAGCTTTACCTGGTCTCTCCACTTTTATAACTTCTGCTCCAAGATCTCCTAAATTCATAGTAGCAAAAGGTCCCGCCAGGATTCTACAATGTTAAAAATGATAAATTAATTACCATCTGGAAAATTTTTATATTAATTATTTTCTTAAAGACCCATCAACACAGACAAGCTCATATAATGCTAGTAAGAATCAAAACAGTTAAAACTGCACTCTGGCCATATGTACAGGAGCTTTAAAAATATATACCTCTTTCTTTTTCTTTTTCTATTTTTTTGAGATGGAGTCTCGCTCTGTCACCCAGACTGGAGTACAGTGGCACCATCTCAGCTCACTGCAATCTCCACCTCCCAGGTTCACGCCATTCTCCTGCCTCAGCCTCCTGAGTAGCTGGGACTACAGGTGCCCGCCACCATGCCCGGCTAATTTTTTTGTATTTTTAGTAGAGACGGGGTTTCACTGTGTTAGCCAGGATGGTCTCGATCTCCTGATCTGGTGATCCGCCCACCACGGACTCCCAAAGTGCTGGGATTACAGGAGTCAGCCACTGCGCCCAGCCCCTATAATTCTTTATCTAGAATTTTATCCTGAGGAAGAAATCAAAACTGAGGGAAATATTTGTGTACAAGGAAGCCTAATTTATAATTGTGAAAAAATTAGAGGATGATTAAGTAATTATGGACATCGTATATATTAATTACTCTCTTACTTTTTGTTGAATTTTGAATAACATAGGAAAATATCTAAAATATAACATTGTGTTTAAAATGTGGGTAAAACTGTAATTTACCATGGTTCCAATTTTAGTTTTTTAAGATTATATACAAATACACATTGGGAGAAGGCATAAATACTACACTAATTGTCTCATAGAATGATGATATTACAGGAATTTTTCTTTTTCTTTATTTTCTTCTCTAAAATCTCAACATAAGCATATAAGATCTTCTTTTAATTCAAAAAATTAAATGTTTTTGAGGAAAGGGAAAAACCCAATCCCAAAGAAAAAACCCAAATGTAGATAAACCAATACAAACCTTGTTAGATCCAGAATTTTTATCCCTTCCAATGGCTTTATATTGTTCATATCTGGCAAAACAGAGAAAACATTTCAAGATAATTGATTATTAATTTTCTTACATTTTCACATGCACCATTATAAACTTGAGATAGATCACAAAGACTACAGTGATTCTTAGCAAGGGAGTCCACAGACCACAAGGCTCTAGTAAAGAATACGGGAAGCCGAGCCAGGCGCGGTGACTCATGCCTGTATCCCAGCACTTTGAGGCCAAGGCAGGATCACCTGAGATCAGGAATTCGAGACCAGCCTGGCCAACATGGTGAAATCCCATCTGTACTAAAAAAATACACAAAAAAAATAGCCAGGCACCGTGGGCGGTGCATGTAATTCTAGCTACTCGCTGAGGCAGGAGGATCCTTTGAACCCAGGAGGTGGAGGCTGTAGTGGGCCAAGATGGAGCCACTGCACTCCAGCCTGAGCAACAGAGCGAGACACCACCTTCAAAAAAAAAAAAAAAAAGAAAGAAAGAAAAAGAAAAAAAATTACTATCACAATCACAGCAATAGCAAATATTTGAAGTGCATGGATTGGTGCATTATTTTCTTGACAGCATACTTATATGGAAAACCAAATTATAATCAGAAGGTAAACTGATAGGCAAAGCATCAAAAAAAGGAAAGTAGCTAAAACCATGTTTAATGTGGTAAATTGTTACAGCTATTTCCCCAGAAATCACACCTCCAACCTTATACATTCTCCTCCCACATTGGCACTGGGCTTGGAAATCTGCCTTGTTTTCACCAATAGGATATTATGAAAGTTGATGCCAGCGGAGGCAGGATAAGTGCTTACACATTGGGGCTTGATTTTTTGGACCACTTCAATCTTCATGCGAAGAAGCACAAGATGAAACAACACATGGAGAGAAGTTCAGCTGAGACTGTCATTGCAGCAGTCCCAGCTGAGGCCCAGACATCTGGATGAAGCCATCTTGGAACACCCAGGCCGAGCCAAGCCACTAGCTATTTGCAGACACATGAATAAACCCAGGTGAATCCAGCAAAAGAACTGCCCAACTGGCTGGGCACGGTGGCTCACGCTTGTAATCCCAGCACTTTGGGAGGCTGAGGCAGGCAGATCACCTCAGGTCAGGAGTTCCAGACCAGCCTGGCCAACCCCGTCTCTACTAAAAATGCAAAATTAGCCGGGTATGGTGGCGCATGCCTGTAATCCCAGCTACTTTGGAGTCTGAGGCTGGAGAATCGCTTGAACCCAGGAGGTAGAGGTTGCAGTAATCTGAGATGGCACCACTCAAGCCTGGGCAACAAAAGAAAATTCTGTCTTAAAAAAAGAAAGAAATAAAGAATTGCCCAATCAACCCACAGAACTCTGAGAAAAAAATAAAGCCTTGTTTTAAGGCACTAAGTTTTGGAGTGGTTTGTTATATGGCAATAGATTAATACAATGGCTTACAGCAGAGATAACCTGTTATAGTAGTGAGAATGATCCTTATATACAAAAAACATCCTTCCCTGTTCAAAATCCTCTATGGTTTCCTACTAAACTTAGAATGAAATCCAACTTCGTTCCACAGCTCACAAAATCCTGCTTGTTCTGGCCCTTGACACTTAAAAATATGATAGAAGGAAAAATATTATAGAAAGGCAGAAAGATCGAGATAAGAAAATCACCTACAGAGCAGAACAAAAAAATAAAAGTGGAAAATGGAGAAAAGGTAACAAAAATAAAACACCAGTCCAGGAAACCCAATAATATGAGCTTCTTAAAGAGTGAACAGCAAAAACAGAAAAGAGAGTATTACCAAAGAAATAATTCAGAAAAAATTGCCTAGAACTGAAAGGCATAAATTTCCAGATTGGAAGGTCCCTCTACTGGCCCAGCATAATGGATTTTAAAAAGACACACAGCAAGCACACCAAGACATCACTGTGAAAATCTGGAGTACTGACTTCTCTGACAAAAGATCTTAAACATTTCTAGGGAGAAAAAAGCAGATCAGATATAAAGGATTGGTTATCAGGAGGACATTGAATTTCTCAACAATGCTGCAAGACAAAACAAAAAACTGGAGCAAAAAAAAAAAAAAAAAAAAAAACCCTTAAAATTCTGAGGGGAGAAATTCTTTCTCCTTAAAATTCTAAACCCAATTAAAACATAAGTCAAGTGTGAGGGTAGAAAAAAAATATTTTTAGTCACGCAGGTTTTCAAAAACTACCTGTCATGCATCCTTTCTTGGAAAAATTACTTTCAAAAGTAATCTAGAAATTTAGAAAATTACTTTATAAGAAAATCATTCCTCCCCACCTGAATATAAGGAAGACTCTAGATCCAACTTACAAGTGACAGGAGCTATAGGAGACAGAGGACCATGTCAAGGACACAATACAGAAGCAGGCAGAAAAATCCAGAATGCCCAAAACACTGCAGGAAATGGAAATATTTATTTCTTTAACAAATAAAAAGGCAAGAAAAATGCAAGATGTAGAAGGATACCCCAATTAAATGAGACTTAATTGTCAACCAACCACAGTATATGAGCCTTACTTAGAGCCTGATTCAAACAAACTATTAAAATCAGATAACGGTAGGCAAGGTGGCTCATGCCTGTAATCCCAGCACTTTGGGAGGCCAAGGCAGGCGGATCACTTAAGGTCAGGAATTCGAGACCAGCCTGGTCAACTTGGTGAAACCCCACCTCTACAAAAATACAAAAATTTAGCTGGGTGTGGCGACGAGCGCCAGTAGTCCCAGCTACTCAGGAGACTGAGACAGGATAATCTCTTGAACCCAGGAGGCAGAGGTTGCAGTGAGCCAAGATTACACCACTGCACTCCAGCCTGGGCAACACAGGGAGACTCCATCTCAAAAATGAAATGAAATGAAATGAAATGAAATGAAATGAAATGAAATTAAAAATAAAATAAAATAAAATACAAAAAGAATAAAAATAAAGCGGAGGGGTGAAGTGAAAGCTCAGGATGACAACAAGGAAGATACCAACACAATAGCTGAGAGGTTTGCACTTGCATCACAGTATGAGATAAATGGAGGCTAGATATTGAGAAGGCAAATAAAGAAACCGGACAAATATTAACAAAGAGAAATAAAAAGGTATACATGAGCAGCAGTATAATCAGAGTATGAATAATAATTGTACTGTTTAAAACAATTTTTTAAACAAACATAATTTAGCAGTTTAATTTAGCAAGGAAAAAATGATTTGTGAAATCGGACAACCCCTCCCCACCCTCCCCCAAGTCACAGCAGATTTAGAGGGTCTCCGGCGCTGCTGTATAGTGGGCATAGTGGGAGAGAATTTATGCATACAAAAAGGAAAGTGATGTGCAGAGAGCAGAAGCAAGGTATAGAAACAGCTAGTGCCTTAGAACACGATCTGAACAGCTGGTGGCTGTAAGTCTTTGAGGTCCAGCTCCTGGGACTGGCTGAAAGTCAGCAACTGTTATTGAAGTATACCCCTAAGTTAGGTTTTCAGTTTGCTTACCTACTAAATTAGGTTGTGGGTTGTAGGTAAAAACTCAAGTATGTGAGTATGGAGGCTTTCTTAGGCCAGATTTTAGTTTGATGAAACAGTATAATAACAATCTAAATACTGAATAGTGATCTAACAAAATTTATAATTTGGAAGGATGGAAAGTGCATGAATATTTGTTCAAATGGTAGTGAAAGAAAGCTAGCCTCTTTTTATTTTTTTTTGGAGACAGAGTCTTATTCTGTCTCCCAGGTTTGCAATCTTGGCTCACTGCAATCTCCGCTTCCCAGGTTCAAGTGATTCTCCTGCCTCAGCCTCCCAAGTAGCTGGGATTACAGGCACCTGCCACAAGGCCCAGCTAATTCTTGTATTTTTAGTAGAGACAGGGTTTCACCATGTTGGTCAGGCTGGTCTCGAACTTCTGACCTCAGGTGATCCACCTGCCTTGACCTCCCAAAGTGCTGGGATTACAGGTGTGAGGCACCGTCCCTGACCTGAAAGCTAGTCTTTATCACTATCAATAGTGCCTAAAAACAAAACAAAAGAATCAATAACATTATAATCAAGTTATTTAGCGATTTGGCAGGAGAAAAAAAGGCAAAAAGAATTGAAATTTGTTGTCTCTGGGCAAAGGGAAGGGGCAGAAAGGCATAAGGGGTTACTCTTTTTCACAATTAATACCGTAGAACTTCTGAGGTTTTAAAACCAAGCATACCTAAAACTTTGATTTTAAAAATTAAAAAATAAATTATAAATTATATTACATTTGTGAACAACAGAGTGAAGCATCATTCTGTGTATCTTCTGCTATACAGCCCCCTGCAATGCTTTGATAAATATTTCTTTCTTTTTTTTTTTTTTTTTTTTTGAGACGGAGCTCGCTGTGTCGCCCAGGCTGGAGTGCAGTGGCGTGATCTCGGCTCACTGCAAGCGCCGCCTCCCGGGTTCACGCCATTCTCCCGCCTCAGCCTCCCGAGTAGCTGGGACTACAGGCGCCCGCCACCACGCCCGGCTAGTTTTTTGTATTTTTAGTAGAGATGGGGTTTCACCATGTTAGCCAGGATGGGCTCGATCTCCTGACCTCGTAATCCACCCGCCTTGGCCTCCCAAAGTGCTGGGATTACAGGCTTGAGCCACCACGCCCAGCCTGATAAATATTTCTACTCTGAAGCTTTTACTGACTCATTGTACACATAGCAGCATCATCACAGAGAAATTACAGTTAATACTCAGATTCTGTATTTGGGAATTTGACTACTGACTAATTTTTTTTTTTTTTTTTTTTTTGGAGATAGAGTCTTGCTCTGTCGCCCAGGCTGGAGTGCAATAGTATGATCTCAGCTCACTGCAACCTCCATCTCCCAGGTTCAAGTGATTCTCCTGCCTCAGCCTCCCAAGTAGCTGGGATTACAGGCATGTGCCACCATGTCCCGGTATTTTTTGTATTTTTAGTAGAGACGAGGTTTTACCATGTTGGCCAGGCTGATCTCAAACGCCTCACCTCAGGTGATCCATCTGCCTCAGCCTCCCACAGTGCTGGCAATACAAGCATGA